CAGGGGGAAGAAAAATGCTTGAACTTCCCAATTGGCATTTGGCTACATTTTCCGTAGGATGTCAATTGAGAATTTTACGCGATATTTTCGCCTCTGACATCAAAATTCAACATGGCTGACGTGGTTTTACAGTACCCTTAATTTTGTTAAATTAAGAATGTAGTCTCTTTAAAAGAAGAACTAAACTTTTTTCCGGAAAAACAATTAACCCATTTCTATTCGTAAGTGAAGTAATCTGCACATGATAGTTACCGTTTATCACCTAGTATGTAATAATCGGCAAGCCACGTTTCTTTATTTTTTATGACGTTAGTAGCGTATTTAGAACGGCAATGAAAATGGGTTAAGCATTGCGCAATAGTGAAATTGTCTGAAATACGCAATTGTACTAATAATTGTTCATCGCTTTGACAGAATATCCACGTGACATGTTTCATGTATTACGATACATCCTGTACATCTACCTCAAGAGGTAGACTCGGGGCAAAAGAAGAACAAAAAGATTATTGTCAGGACCAGTTTTTCTTGCTGGGAAAGTACAAAGATAACTGTCAAATGCTTTGCCTGTATACAATTATTTTTGTTGCATAGGAATGAGGGAACAATACGACAAAAACTGATTTAATCTAAAGACAGAACAGGGAGAACGAAATGTTTAATGAATTATTTAATGCGATGTAAAAGTAGTGATTGAGACGTCTCGTTTATGAAACTCCTCTTCGAACCGCGTTGTACTAAATCGTTTGAGAATTTGCGACATTAATATGAATACCCTGACACCCATGCGATTTCATTTTTATCATTTGTTTATAAACAATTTTTTAATTTTTATAACATGAAATTTCTTTGAATTCAGGATCTTCCTTAGGGGTTTCATATTCACGCAGTAAAATTTTTAACAAGTCGATACATTGAGTTTACCGAAAAATTTCATAGAGTAATTGATTTCTTAGATACTGTTTTCATATCACGTTAAGGTGAAGTGAACCCCCCTCCCCCCTCAAATGAGTCAATTCGAATAAGACACTTTTTAAGAGTATCGGAGCGAAGTGTCTGAAACTTTGGCACATAACTTGTGAACACCTAAGAAATATCCAGGCCCTTTTAAATGTTGGTTGTTAAAAAAAAAATTTGTTTGACGTAGCCTAGACTAGAACCCAAATGGCGTCGAGCTCTCATATTTTGATCAATGTACACTTATTAATGACTCCGATGTGAGACACGAAAGTGTCGGGACAATTCCATTAGAATTTAGAACACTTTAACAATGAAGAACTCGTATTTGAACGCAATACTAGAGAAATAAGTGTCCTGCAAGCTTTCGTGCCAACACAAAAATATAACGAGATTTCTGAGAAAAAATTTAATTGATTGGCAGTAAATGCTACAAATGGCGCAGGGTGACCCTCTGCAGTTAATTATAGTATCAGAAATCTTAAATCCAAGGTTTTTCTTGAATTTTACTTCGGTTTCTTTATAATCATTCTATACGAAAACGACATATAAAGTATGCCATTCCGTTCAATACTTAATGTAGTTAAGTACAGCTGTTAAGGTGAAGTGAAACACGTCGAGGACCTTGATCGACGTCGATAAAGAAGATTTTTCTAAATACCTACGTTGCCGATGTTCATTTTTATATTGACAGCTGGGTCGAATTATATTGGGTATTGCACTAAATGGCTATACTCCACCTGTCGTTTTCGTACAATAATTACAAAGAAATCGAAGTAAAACTCCAGATATCCTCTGGATTCATGCTTTCTGAGGCCCTAATTGACTGCAGGGGGAACCCCTGCGCCATCTGTGATTTCCAAGTCAATTAAATTTTCACCCCGAGACCTCGTATTTCCATCGTTTTAGCATAGAAGCGCATACAACACTTTTTTTGCCTTTATCTCGTCCAAATGCGAGTTTATCGATTGCCCGAGTGTTCTAAATTGTCGTAATATTATCCTGATCATTTCGTTTCTCATATCAGAACCTTCTATAATTGTAGATTGATCGAAATATGAGAGCTTAATGCCATTTTAGTTCTGGTCTGGGCTAAGTTAACCAATTTTTTCCAAAAATCCAAATTTTTAATGTGTCAGGAGAATTCTTAGACGATCACGAGTCATGTGACAATGTTTCGGACAGTTTGGTCCAATACCCTTAAAAAAAATTGTTGTATTCGAATCGACTGATTTGAAGGGGGTTTCACTTCACTTTTCTATGAGCAACAAATCGTCTCGAGTTGTTGGTATGCCCCAGCGAGAAAGGCCTCGAGCGCAAAGGGTTAACGGCGTTCACCACCAAAGTGGGGACGATGACTTCCACCGCTAGATGGCATTAGCATCGAATTCGGTGGGAGGTAACCAAAACGTACTTTCTCGCTCGGATGAGGGAGACGCGACGCATAATGGGCAGTGTTTAGCAACGGGCGAAAAATGTGTGCATATTTTGCACGTATAGGACTCACACAACGGCTAGACGCCTCTGGACCCGGCGCCGAAACGCGTCTGACGCCCGGCCGCCCGCACACGCCAATTGGACGCTCCGCCTAGAGTCGGCAACGGTTGCCAAGGAATGCCCAAATTCCTCGCGAGAAACCCGAAAATCCTGAAAAATGTGCTCCACGGGGACAACGATTTTGAGCGTATTTCTCAACCGATCGAGCTCAACAAATGCTCGCTTTAAAGATAAAATGTTGACGTGTGTTTATATGGGAGCGATTTTCGATCAAACACCTCCTTCCTAGGTAAAAGGGCATTAAAATTATGTCGTTGCACTTTTTTACATGAAAATGACCACTTATCGAAAATCTCTCCCATATAAACACGGGTCAACGTTTCATCTTCGATATGAACACTCGTTAAGCTCGATCGGTTTAAAAATACGTTCGGAATCGTTGTTCCCGTGAGGCCCTGCAAAATCGCTGGAGTGGTGAGCGCCCTTAATATAAATATAAGCATCAATAACGCGCTGCGCTGATTAAGATGGTATATCAGTTAGAAGGGTTTGGTTTTACCGACAATGATTAAGTTTCTCGATGGGTTTCATTTCACCTTAACACGTTGTTGACCGGTAACGAGTTAACTCGTGCCGGAACAACTAACGTTGTAAAATTGCCGGTCAACAGTGTGTTAAGGAGGTATAAAAGTGATCGGAAAGCTCAATCGTTAATGACACTTTTCTACGAACTCGGTGTATTGAATTGTTTCAAACTGGACAATGTGAATATGAAGGCTATATGGAACGTACTGACACTCATGAAATTTCATTTTTGACAAAAAGTTTTAAAAAGAAAAACAAATTAAAAAAAAAACAGAAATTTACTGGGTATCAGGACCTTTCTTATAGCCTCTATATTCACGTTGTCAAGTTTGGAACGATTCGGTACACTCAGTTCGTAGGAAAGTTTCATGAACGATTGAGCTTTCGGATGCCACTTTCACGTCCCCTTAAGGTGATATGAAAGTGTGATATATACGTACCAAAAAGGCAACATATTTATGAAACTTTTCTCCAAACTGAATGCACCGAATTATCTTAAACTTCAACACGTGAGTGAGAGAAACAAGAAATTTGAATTTTTTTTTTAATTTGTTTATATATGCTCTCAAAATGTCGTATAGAAACTGAAATTTCACGAGTTTCAGGACCTACCTTAGGGCCTCTACATTCACATTGTAAACTTTGAAACGATTCGGTATTGGGTATGAATTCGTAGAAGAGTTTCATGAACGAAGATTAACTTTTCGGATGCCACTTTCACATCCCCTTAATGATAGGGTTGGCAACCAGCTGTTGAATTTTTTCATTTTAACCGGCTTTCGGTATTAGAAATCTTTAAGGTGATATGAAAGGGTCATTTTATATATGAATATATCGTAAAAATATTTATAAAACTTTTCTCCAAATTGGGTGCATCAAATCATTTGAAACTTCAGCATGTGATTATGGAGGCCCTAAGGAAGAACGCAATGTTCGTGAAATTTAATTTTTTACAACAAGAAGAATGTGATTTTGGTTCTAGTCTAGACTCAATAAAAAAAAATTTTGTTTTGAGAAATGAAATTTCACGAACGTCACGTTTTTCCTTACGGCATTTCATAATGAAATGCTGAAGTTTCCATCGATTCGTTGCATCCAGTTTAGGGAAAAGTTTTATAAATATTTACGCTTTATATATATATCGAATGACCCTTTGATATCTCATTAAGGTGTAGTGAAACATGTCGAGGAACTTGACCGACGTCGGTAAAAATGATTTTTCTAAAGACCTACGTTGCCGACGTTCGTTTTTATATCGACAGCTGTGTCGAATTATACTGGGTATTGTACCAAATGGCATACTCCACCTGTCGTTTTCGTACAATAATTATAAAGAAGTTGAATATAACTCCAGAAATCCTCTGGATTCATGTTTTCTGGGGCCCAAATTGACTGCAGAGGGACCCCCTGCGCCATCTGTGATTACCAGGTCAATTAAATTTTCACTCCGAGACCTCGTATTACCATCGTTTTGGCATAGAAGCGCATACAACACTTTTCTTGCCTTTATCCCGTTCAAATGCGAGTTTATCAATTACCAGAGTGTTATAAATTGTCGTAAAATTGTACTGACCCTTTCGTTTCTCATATCAGAGCCTTCGATAATTGTATATTGATTGAAATGTGAGAGCTCGACGCCATTTTGGTTCTGGTCTGGGGTAAGTTAAAAAATTGTATGCAAAAATCTAAATTTTAAATGTGTCAGGACAATTCTTAGATGATCAGAAGTGATGTGTTAAAGTTTCGGAGTTTGGTCTAATACCCTTAAAAAAAAAGTGTTGTATTAGAATCGACTGATTTGAAGGGGGTTTCACTTCACCTTAACCCAAATACGATCGTACCGCCTTTTCTTATCACTTCACCTCCCGAATCCACTCTATATTAACACGCCCCGCACGTGATATGACACACGCTGTATACCCGCTCGCGATGCCCCGACCTTAACCAAGACGTTTCTTTTGCAGAGGTGATCGGCAAGAGTTACTGGAGTAGCGAGAGGTGATCTTCCACGGGCGATCGATGGCGGAATAGCTCGCAAACCGAGTCGTTGCAATCAAAGTGATAAGACAGTTGTAAAATTCCGAGAGCACCGACCCTCCCCTTCCCGCCCTCGACCGGAAGTACAAGCCGAAAGAGGCGAAGAGTATCGAGGGGAGAGATCAGGGCGCAAAAGGAAAAGAAGACGATCCAGAGGGGGCCAACCAGAGGAAGAACAATAACAAGAGACACGAGGCGGCTTTTGGGGCTTCTCGGTTCTCTCTTTCTTTTTGCCCCCTCGTCTTTTGCGTTTTGGTCGCCATTTTTACAAGCGTATACATGAATTTAGAGTTAATCGCGAGAGTGTAAGATAACGTGTCGTCGAATTAGAGAGAACGAGAGAGAGAAAGCTGCGTTGCTTTGACTTCCCCTCTTTATCCAGTGTCTTTTTCTCTCCTTTTCTCTCTTCTAATTTCTTCCTTTTTTCTTCCTTTTTTTTTTCTTCCTTTTTGTTCCCTTTTATCTTGTCGTAGGTCCGTATCGGGGTATCAGTGTCTAGTGTTCACTTGCTATTCATTCCTTGTGTACTTTAGACAGTTAATTAGGCGACTATTCTTTAATGTACAGTATTTAACGCGCGAGTATAACAAATAAAATTTGTTAGTGATCCACGAGAGTCGAGGGTTGTCTTTTGGTGGTGGCGAGTGGCTCGATGGAACGTTACGGAAATCATTGATCAGTCATCAAAATAGGTACTTTAGTCGACCTGAGAAAGTAATAATTGGTGTAATTTGGAATGTAAACTACGTAATACTCCTGCATTGCTAGTTGAGAATGCGAGGTGATTCCTGCGTTAAGTATCATGCGCAAACTTGGCGTTCGCGTATATGTGCGTATGTATTTGGCGCGAAACTCTACCAACTTTCCTGATTCCATGAATCTAAAAATTAAGGAATGGCAGGTATCGCTGCAAAGGTGAAGCTCAATACGAAAGGGAAATACACGAATGACGGCCATTTTTCGTTGCGTTCTCGCGTCATTTAAATGAATATAAGGAACGATCTGACAATTACCAGTACGCGATAACTGTAATTGTCGTTGGCAACTTTTGTATACTTAAAAGCCATTTACGACACAGTTTTACTATTTTTATAACTTTTGGCACGCACTTTATTGTACATCAAAGAAGATGCTGTACGTACGCTTTGGTTGACACTGGTGACAAATACGACATTGCGCGTATGTGCATAGCAACGGAAGATGGCCGCAACAAGCCTCTCCCTTTACGTCTCTAGCATGGAGACTAGAGACCTGGAAGACGAACGCAATGTTATAAAAATTTCCTCAATCGGATACAGATCTTTCTTTCTTAGGCGGCGCCACATTCGCTTAGGGGCCACTACTTGAGTAAAGCGAGGGCATGGACTTAAAGGCGTACAATTGCAATACGGTTACCCTGTCCAAATAAACTAAAATAAAATATTCAATGTATATTTTGTTTATAAAATATTTTTATGAGCTTTTATTTGTGACATATGTAAGAACTGTGGTTAAAAAAGTTTTGGCTTTGGTAGTAGAACGTGAAGCTTTCCAAGTTTTCAATTTGACAGGTCTCCCGCGTTGTCCGAGATTCACAAGATTATGTACTCCATGTTGGTCCCTTAGCAATAGCACTGCCACCTACAGAGAAAATTTCAAACAATGTTCTGTATCCTTTTTCGCGGACACGAGCTCCCATAAGGGGCCCCTTGTAGTTCGACCTCCTGGTTCCTATCTTCAGGCTCTTCGTGGAGAATCTAACTTTATGTTCTGTCCCTTTATTCCCGGATCCATGTATCATTTACAATCGACTTATGGTATCATTTCCTCTTGGCCAAATTGTTGAACNCACAAAAAATTTCATAATTTTTTATAAAATTGCATTATTTTCTATTAAACGTTTGAAAAATTAATATTATTTTAATGTAACTGAACTTATGGCATTAATATAACATGTTACCTTATTGAGGGGGAAATAATAAACATCTAACTTCAATGTTACTTTTATGCTACATAACACGTTAACTTCGAAAACGTAACATTTACCTAACAGTTATATAACAGTGTTCAGAGGGTTGGTATCGCTGGTGTGCCTTGAATTCGTCGAAGCCCTCTCCGTTTAGAACAAATAGGTATCAGTTATACAATTAGTATATAGATCAGTGGAGAAAGGGAAGCGAATGGTGTAAGATAGAGGAAGTGTGCAATTTACGATATATCGTCGTACGATCACTGTATCATATATCACGTACGAGAAATGATCACTGCGATGCTATCCGTTACTTAAGNGGTGGAAGTCATCGTCCCCACTTTGGTGGTGAACGCCGTTAAGGACATCACATTCTGTATATCATGCGCGGATTACCGTTTCGATTTGCGTATCTTAATTGCAAAGTTAAAAGCATTTTAGATCATTTACATCGGTTGGAAATGTTTTGGTCATGTAGGATTGGAGTTTCCTCATTTCCCGCAAGTAGCGCTCGCATCGTTAGATCAGCGAAAATTTGATTGTGAGATCCTGAGTCATTTTCCGTGGAACCGACTATTGGCGTTCTTTCTCCTTATACCACTTCATGGGTCTAAGATTGCCACTGCTTGCCGTTACGTGAAAACACGGTTAATTCCAGATTTTTTAAGAAGTACCATTCCCCTTTAATGCGGAAGTAGTATAGTGGCAATAGAAAACTAGTGGCCAAATAAGTTTTCAATCACGGTGCAGCCATGAACCCCCCCATAAAACGTTGATACAGAACAGAAAACAGAAATGGCGGTCGCCTAACCGTTTCGTTACAAGTGACTATAGTCACCTGCCACAAAACGTCACGTATACCTAGAGTTCTAAATCCAGTAAGTTACGTCAGAAACGAAGAGAAATTCCCGGGTATATTTTGTTTATAAAATATTTTTATGAGCTTTTATTTGTGACATATGTAAGAACTGTGGTTAAAAAAGTTTTGGCTTTGGTAGTAGAACGTGAAGCTTTCCAAGTTTTCAATTTGACAGGTCTCCCGCGTTGTCCGAGATTCACAAGATTATGTACTCCATGTTGGTCCCTTAGCAATAGCACTGCCACCTACAGAGAAAATTTCAAACAATGTTCTGTATCCTTTTTCGCGGACACGAGCTCCCATAAGGGGCCCCTTGTAGTTCGACCTCCTGGTTCCTATCTTCAGGCTCTTCGTGGAGAATCTAACTTTATGTTCTGTCCCTTTATTCCCGGATCCATGTATCATTTACAATCGACTTATGGTATCATTTCCTCTTGGCCAAATTGTTGAACGTAGTAACTTTTAGTAATATTTTCTACCAGACTTTTCGGCATCCAAAATTTAAAAGTTCGCTTGAATGATTATCAAGTGGCGGATCTCGGTATCCACTCTGCAATCCATTATCATGGAGCGCCTGACGCATGAGCGTACACGATATCATATGTCTACGTATCTGTATCTGTTGGATTTTAACTCAGTGCTTTGAGCCCAGTACCAGGCGATATAAGTAGTATAGGAAAATACAACGCCGTAATCGAAATCGGTACCACTTTAGGGGTTCAATGTTTTCTGATTTGCGCCGATCTATTTGTCAATAGTGTCAAGAAACTTAGGTGCAACTTTGGAATTATAAAACAATTGTGTGCTAGCACGTCTGCTAGTTTCTATCACATGAAAACATCACATTCTGCATAATATACACGGGTCATCGATGCACGTTTCATACCTTAATCATAAAATTAAAAGCGTTTTAGGTTATTTATATCCGTAGGAAACGTTTTGGTCACGTTGAATTGGAATTCTTACATTTTCCGCAAGTAGCGCTTGCATCGTTAGATTATCAAAAATCCGAGATCCCTGGGTCCCGATTTTGAGTTCACTTTTTTGGGGACCGATTGTAGGCGTTATATTTACATCGTGGTTACATGACTACGTCATATACGGTTTCGTAGTCAAACTGGCGCTAATAAAAAGGTACAATTAAGAGGGAATGGTACAGAATTTTCTTTGTGTTCGTTTACACACCTACGAGAGCTGGAAGCGGGGAAACTTCGCACACAAAAATGTTCGTACAGGATGTACTTTGAATAACTTGAATGGATGAAATCATAGCCTTTCGAAAATATAAGTTTCCCTGAGAAGCTTGATTTTTAAATTGTCAGAAAAATATAAGTAATGAGTACAAATCCGTGCTTGTATCGTTACTTGTTCAGTACTTGCGGCATTGTTACACAGAACCACTAATAAAAATTGAAAAAGAACCACGCAAGGAAAGTTGTACACTTGTTAACTTCACGCTTATTTATTGGAAACTGCTATTGACACTTTTGCATGCGAACATACAAAGCTGTAAACGAGACATTTTTCTTGCATAAAACTTGAGCAAATTTCCGTAGCTAGCGCTAAGTGTACATCGTGACGTCAGTGAGCTGTAGAGCATGCGTAGTAGCAGAAAGAGCCAGCTACATGACCGTACTTATTAGGGTCGTTTTAAAATTTCACATTAGATACAATATACACATGCATTGCGAAAACGCAAAAAACTTATAAATGTCGAGTTCCTTGTATGGTACAATAGATATGTTTGTATTGAGTTTCGTACTAACAAAGTCTTTATTTCTTTACGTGAAGTATGACCTTTTTATTGAGACTCGGCACTCAATGGTAGCGCTTAACGGTACTGAAATACGACTGCTTGCGATAAAAATTGCGGTATCGCGGCTTCCATAGCGTTTGTTGCGTCACAAGTGTTACCACCTTAGACCATATACATCTAGACCTCGCATTGGGCCTCCCACTTCCGAACTTTCAGTAAACAAAATGGCTTTAACATGTGAGTGAGCGCACGGGTCACACGGTACATTGGTTTACTACTTCCACTGCAAAGCGAGGTCTAGATGTCTATGCTCTAAGCACGAAGTAGTATAAGGAGATACAACACCATGTATTGAAATCGTCCCCACTTTAAGAGTCCAAGGTCTTCAGATTTTTTCTGATCTAGTGTTGAAAATTATCGTCTGCTAGTGGTTCCACTAGTCTTTATCACGTTAAGGGCGCTCACCACTCCAGCGATTTTGCAGGGCCTCACGGGAACAACGATTCCGAACGTATTT